TGTATCAAAGAATCGTTTAATAAACGAATTTAAGATTGTCTAATCAGGTCTTCCCTGGTGGCGCAGTGGTTGAGAGTCCGCCTGCCGATGCAGGGGACACGGGTTCATGCCCCGGTCTGGGAAGATCCCACATGCCGCGGAGCGGCTGGGCCCGTGAGCCATGGCCGCTGAGCCTGCGCGTCCGGAGCCTGTGCTCCGCAGCGGGAGAGGCCACGGCAGTGAGAGACCCGCGTACCGCAACAAAACAAAAACGTGTACCGCAAAAAAAAAAAAAGATTGTCTAATCAGATTATGTATGAAAAGCCCTTTCCAGTCGTTCCCTGTCAAGTTCAAGAAAGTAGGAGATGTGAGATTTGTTCAGTCCAGATCCAACTCAAGCTATTGTTTCCCTATATGTATTTCAGTATTGATAGTTTTTTTCAATGATTTGTATTAATGTAAATAAATTGGAATCACACAGTCAGAATGAAAAGGGAAAGAAACACAACAATAAGATACTACTACAATCTAGTAGAATGGCCAAAATGCAGAGCACTGACAACACGAAATGATGGTGAGGATGTGTAGCAACAGAAACTCTCGTTCACTGTTGGTGGGATGCAAAATGGTACAGCCACTTGGGAAGACAGTTTGGTGGTCTCTTACAAAACTAAACCTCCTCTCACTGTACAACCCAGCAATAGCTCTCTTTGGTATTTACCCAAAGGAGTTAAAAATTTATGTCCTCACAGAAACTTGCACACAGATGTTTATAGCAGCTTTCTTCCTAATTGTCAAAACTTAGAAGCAACCAAGATGTCTTTTAGTAGGTGAATGGATCAACTAGGTTACATCTAGACGGTGAAATGTGATTCATCACTAAAAAAAAAAACGAGCTGTCAAAACTGTGCAAAGACATGGAGGAATCTTAAATGCATACACTAGGTGAAAGACGCCAGTCTGAGAAGGCTGCTTACTGGATGATTCCCACTCGATGACATTCTAGAAAAGGCAAAACCGTGGAGACCGTAAAAAGATCAGTGATTTCTCCAGGGGTTCATGAGGAGGGGCGGGGGGATGAACAGGCAGAGCAAAGAGGGCTTTTAGGGCAGTGAAATTATTCTATGTGACACTACAATGGTGGATACATGTCATTATACGTTTATCAAGACCCATAGAATGTATAACACCCAAGAGTGAACCCTAATGTAAACTGTGTACTTCGGGTGATAATGGTGTATCAGTGTAGGTGCACAGATCGTAACAGATGTAGGGCCCTGGGGAGGATGTTGATAATGTTGATAATGGAGGAGACCGTGCATGTGTAAGGGCAGTGGTATATGGGAAATCTCTGTACTTTCTGCTCAAATGTGCTGTGAAGAAAAAACTGCTCTAAAAAATAACTTCTATTAAAAAAAACTTTTTAAAGAGAGAGAAGGAAACTGACATACGATAAGCACTGTACCATTCTTCCACTCATCTGATCCATATTTATTGACTCAGCACTCTATGACAGGCATCCTGCTACTGGGTTTGATTTTGTTATGATTTGTAGAGATTGGATATAATATTATATAATATTTTATTGACTTGGTTTCAATAATAGTAGACCTAGAATTTTTAAAGATTTGACTTTTGAAGAATTCTGCATGAGGATGATGAAGGGAGGAAGAAGAAGGGGTACACTGGCCTGAAATGATAGCATGGGGACCAAAACAAGGGCCCCGCCTCTTGGATGTGGAGTGATCGTTGGAGAGGATTAAAGAAAAATAGACTGCTTTAAAGAAAAATAGTGGGAGAGGAAGTACCTTTTAAAAAGGTACCTTTTTAGAAAGGAGAGTTTCCCCTGATCATCTTTCAAAGAGAGTTGTACTTTGTTAATGTTTACAGTGGGTTTGTTTGGAGGCTTATAAGAGTTTAAGGTTGGACACAAGAAGAGACTAGAAGAATTGGATGCCAGGAGAAGTTGAAGAGAGAGAGGATCCAGGGGAAAAGCAGAGGGGAAGTGAACAGGGCAACATTGGACCCATCCATACCACCAGAGGTCCTGCAAGGAATCAAGACCCTGCAAGAGAATTGAAAGTCTGCCCTATGGCTCTCTTTCGGGTCCTGCTGGGAGCGGGGAGGCTGCAGGAGGGGGCAGAACCAAGGACCTGACCATCACATTCACGTCTGTGATGGTCAACTCTGACGCATGTTTGGCTTCAGAAAACTGAAGTAGGATTCTCATATGCTTAGGTAAATTTCAATCCCAAGAAAACAAAAGGTTTTTTTTTATATTGATGATCCGGTGACCCTCAAAATAAGAGCAAATGAGAAAGTTTATCATCTTATTTTTGTTGCTCTAAATGGGTTAAAATAGAAGGTTTCATTATAAAGTTGAATATATGGCATTAATTAGGGTCACACTGAAAACAGCATTTTCTCATTATACATTAAGAATTGATATTGCCTTCATTTTGAATTCATTTTCCCTTTTCAAGCTTTGGAATAGTATTTTAATAGCTTGATTCATTAAGTTATATGAATGGGAAATATATTATCATAAATTAGGAATCTTAACTAAAATATACAGAATAGCTAAGGTAGAGAGATAGATAGATTTACTTCACCATTTACCTTTAATACATAACCAATTGGTGAACTGTAAGAATGGCTTTATTACCACTTTTATAATAGTTTCATCATTATTAAAATAATTAAACCTAGATAATTTTAACGTACAGCACATACATGCAGACACAAACACATTGAGAAAATGACATTCATAGTTTAACCTTTTTTGTACAAATGGAAATAAAAATAAAATGCATGTGTTAAAGCTCAGATGTATTTACGGGACACATGTATAGCAAGAGATTTCATCTCTCTTGGGTGAGTGCCAAGCAGGCCCTGGGTCAAACTGTAAGTTGAGAAAAAGTGGTTTTCTGATCCTTTGATAGCTTTTTCTAATTGCCCCAATGGTCCCTTTAGCCATCTTCCACCGGTGCTATCACCAATGCAGACTGTACAGGCACCTCGGGGACATTAACGCCTGTCTCTACACCCCTGTCCCCCGCTGGGGGTGGAGGTGTGTGGAGGTCTCCTCTCTTCTCCTCTCCTCTGTCCCTGGTCCTGATCTCACAGGGGGTGTGATACCACAGTCATGTTTTCTAAATTAGGGACCTAGAGTCCATGAGTTCTGGGAGGATTTCAACTTTCTCTGTTTTCATTTGGTTGATGGATGAAAATAATTCCTCCAGGCATATTCTGAATCATGAGATGGTCCACCTTATGTGTGAGACATGCATCCTCATTTTTTTGTAAGCTGGTCCCAGAAGAGCTGCAGTAGCCCCTTGGAGACGTTCTTAGATGTTTACAAAAGGGTTTTGTTTGTTTGTTTTGTTTTCCTTTAAAGAGGACTGTTACTCAGTTTTGAGTTAGCTGACCTGAGAAAGAAACACTGCTATAACAAGTAATCCCTCCGCATTTACTCAAATACTTACTGAACTTCTACTGTGTGCCTGGCATTGCACTTGGAATAGGGATGGGGGTCTACCAATGAACAAGACAAAGAGACTTGCCTTCCAAGAATATACATTCTAGCAGAAGACAGACAATAACAAGAAACATAATAAAGAAGTTAGGACACATGCTGTGAAGGATTCTATGATAGATTAAGGTGAAACGAGACTGCTGGATTAGGGAGGTGGTGTGATTCAGATGGCAGTTTTAAACAGTGTAGCTGAGTGGCCTCCTGGAGAACGTGGCACTAGAGCACTGTTGAAAGAGTCTGGGGATCCGGCCCTATGCCCCAGCACATCTGTGGGATGAATGAGTTTTCTGTAATCAGAAAACTAAGTAGGGAAGGTGTCAGATTATATTCATTCATGCCAAATTATAATTCTTCAATCCCTGAGGGATATTGAGGTTAAAAAAAGGAAAGAATATTACTGAGTGAATTGTATGTATTCTTCTTCCAAATGCAGAAATATTCAAATACAGCTCTGCTAATGAAAGCTCCATGAAATGTTCTGTATGTTAACTAGACCATTTGTTTGCAGTTTAAATTTTGAAATGGGTCTGACTATTCAAGGACAGCAAGGAGAAAACACATCTGGAAACATAGTGCAAGGGCTTTTTTTTTTATTTACTTATTTAAAAAAAGAAACATTTTCTTTGGGTAAAAAGAACACCCAAATGTAATATTATTTTACTGTTGCTATTAATCAAATACCTACGTTCTGCAGAACATGACTCGGTCCTCGTGTTCAGACCAGCTGCCATTGTGGTGACATAGTTTCCAGGTCTTCTCAGATGAAAAGACTTGTGTCATTTCTGGTTTTTCATTTGGCTTCTGGTTCCTTTGCAAGGTTGGGAACATTCCCCTCTTAAGCATCCTTTTCACATTTTGTACAGCAATGCTGCAGCCCTTTAAGACAGCGGTTACATTTAATAAGTCTTAGGAGTGAGAAGCATTCTTTTGCCCATGCATCTGCTTCATGCCCTGAGTATGTGGCATTTTTTTTTTTTTTTTTTTTTTTTTTTTTTGCCGTTCGCAGGCCTCTCACTGTTGTGGCCTCTCTCGTTGTGGAGCACAGGCTCCGGACGCGCAAGCTCAGCGGCCATGGCTCACAGGCCCAGCCGCTCCATGGCATGTGGGATCTTCCCGGACTGGGGCACAAACCTGCATCCCCTGCATCGGCAGGCGGACTCTCAACCACTGTGCCACCAGGGAAGCCCTGTGGCATATTTTTATAGAGAGAAATGGCTGAGACACCCATTAGGAGGTTAAAATCATCTTTTCAAAATTCTGCGCTTTGAAAGGAAATGCATTTGAATTTTTATTGGTAGGATATTAAAACAAGTAAAAGCAATAGAATCTAAAGAGAACAATAATTTGTTTTCTTTTCCCTTTGTAAAAGGCCTTCATTCAGTGTAATTAATTGGATAGCAAGTACCTCATATAGAAAACCTGTTGGGGTTTAAATAGTGAAATCATCCTCTCTAAGGCAACCTTCCTTTCTCCTTTACTCCTTCAGATAAGGAGACAAGGAGGTATTCAGCTCCTGGTGGACCTGCTGGACCATCGGATGACGGAAGTCCACCGTAGTGCCTGTGGGGCGTTGAGAAACTTGGTGTATGGGAAAGCCAACGATGACAACAAAATCGCCCTGAAGAACTGTGGCGGCATCCCGGCACTGGTCAGGTTGCTCCGCAAGACCACCGACTTGGAGATCCGGGAGCTGGTCACAGGTCAGAATCCTTATTAACGGCATGACTGACTCTCAGATAAATTACCCATCATCCAGCACGGTTGCAATGTGCTCACCAAGTATTATGGTCCCGGCCTCTCTGAGAGCTAATAACACCACTCGTCCCGATGTGTCTCTGTAAATAACAAACGTGAATGAAAGGGTATCAGGTGTCACGCTGGTAGATGGGTCATATTAAATAACTAGCATCCAGTAAACATAACCCTTCTAAAATTCTATGACCATATTTCAGTCTTTGTCATTTGATTTAGAAGTAGTTGACATCTTAAAATACCCACGGGTCATCATTAGAATGACATTAATCATAATTGATGAAAGGACAGAGCATGTGAGTTATTGTTAATCAGGTATATATTCTGGCTTAGAGCGTGGTTAACAACAGAGAGCTTATTGTACTTAACAGTTAATTTCTTGGATAAAATATTTATGCCTAGTAAAAGCCCCCAGGTTGTATAAAATTACAGATTAAGGAATTTCTCAAAAGTGATCATGAGAGAAAGCCTTTCTATGGGCATAGGACTTTGGAGTTTTGTGAAATGGACATAATTATGGTAACTACCTTATAGCACCATAGGATTAATCAATGAAAAAATATAAAGCATTTAGCATGTGCCTTTGTGGAATATGTATGGATACAGGAAACATTAGTCATTTGCTGTTGCCCTTCACTTTTTACATGTGCAGTTTTACTTGTTGGAGGGCTATGGATATCGGTGGTCTCAGTACAGAATTTCAAATCACTTTTCTTGATTATATATATATGTGCATATATTGCTGTTCTATGTGATATTTGTTTTTTGGCTCATCAAAGTACTCCTTCAAGTATCTGGCAAGGGTATTGCAAGGTTGACTCTCAGAGAAGGATCTTTTAATTATCCATGTTTCCACTGACCTTCTGTCTCAACTCTAAAAGTTCCTTGAAACTATGCTGATGAGCATATGCGCAGTTGCTCATTGAAGAAAATACATTACCGAAGCTAGAGTCATAAGTATTTGTTTATTCTTGGGTCAGGACTCCCAGCTGCAGTATGTTTTCTTTAACTTACACCCTTTAAGATTATTGTCACATCTCCTTTGTACTTAGCTAAATTAGAACTAGACTCCCAATTGTCTTTCCTTTTGTTTTTTCCTTTTTCCTTTTCTTTCTTTTTTTTTTTTTCTTTCTCTAAGTGGAGGATTGTCTTCGTGGGGGAAAAAAAAAGGTTGTCAAGGGTTGTGTTATGATAGTAATGTTTCACACTAAAGTAGCATGGGGTGGCTTGGTCAGGGAAGGAAAAACTGTTGTTATGCACGTATTATGATGTGTAGGATAGTTTGGGGATGAGTGAAATAACTGAAAACATACCCTGCCATTAAAGTTAGGAACACCTGTGCTTATGTTTATGGATCATGTTTAAATTGGAAATGGCTGCAAGTGAAAGGACTCAATGCGCATGATGGAAAACAAACACCATGGTGCTTCTGTGCATGGGCTTCCTTGCCAGTGGATGGATGAGGCCAACACAACTAAAGGAACACCCTGCTGTGTACTTACGCATCCATTTCATGATTTGAAAAGAATTGGATTCTACCAAGATTTGGATTTGCTCCAGCACAAATCCCTTGTCTTGAAGCGCTCTCTGTGGTGGCTTATCTCATTGCCAGAGAAACTCAGCCCATGCAAAAGGTTGAGGTGTTGATGGCTTCAATCAGAAAGGAGATGGAAGCAATGCCTGTGCCCCATGACGCTGTCTACCACAGCACGCCCTGCGCTTCTTGTGATATTTGAAGCTGCTGTGAAAGAAATGAAGGCTGGCTCCTCCCTTGCCTTTAGCTCTGCTTCTGACAGATGCTGGGTGTCACTCATTATGTGCCCCTGAGCAACATCAAAAATTTCTGTGTGAGCCCCATTTGGAAACATCAAAGGCAGATAAACTCTTCAGAATGTCCACAAGTTTCCTTTCCTGGTGAAGCTTTGGCTGTAGGAAAGATGCTTGGACTTGTTATACCTAGAAAACGTATGCCTCTTATTCTGCTCCTTTTGAGAAGAACAAAAGTTTGCACCCATTGTCAAATCATGACCCACTGTTTCCTCATCATCATGAGCTTGTGGCCCAGACTCTCTCCTAGAAAAAATGCTGTCTTCTGCCATGACGCCATCCAAGCCATCAGAGCCGAATGGATTCAGGGTGACAGTGGTTGCTACTTCAATAGATGTTTTCTGCCTTTCCAGAGGCAGGGTCTTATTGTGCCCGGCTAAACTTCAGGCACGAATTTCACCTTTTTCAAAGAAAACTAGGTTGTCAAAACATTTAGACTGGCTGAAGCTCCTGGTTTTGGGAATTGCCACGGTGGATGCTGTCGAAAAACAACAAGCCCGTTGGCCAAGCTCCCCCTCCAGAAAAGAAAGTCCGAGGCAAGCATCTAGGAGAGCAATCCAGCATGGAAGGAATTGCCACTGCAGGTCAGTCTTTAGTGACAAAGGCTTCTAAATTTCCACGCTGGCGGAAACCTGGGGCCGCCTGGAAGCCTGCGAGGCTCGCTGACTTCCATTTAAACAGAGCAGCAAGGCGCAAATCTAGCCAAAGCTGACTCCACTGCCTGAAGAAAGAAGTCAAATGAGGCAAACGGATTCACCTCCGAGAGGCTTAGAGAGTCATTTTCATCTTCAGCACTGGCCATGGTCAACCGCCAAAGTGAGCTGTGAGAGCTGGGATTCCGCTGGCTCCTGCAGAGCTTTGAGGATACACGATTTCAGTACCGCCAACCCAACTGAACTTCAAGGTTATCCAGTCCTCCATTTCTCTTATGTGTTATCCTCTTTCCTCTCCTCTGAGAGCCTTGGACTCGGCTTCTGTGCACCGGTGCCGAATCGAATCTCAGAGACAGAGTTTTGGGTGAAGTAGAAAAGAACAGCTTTATTGCTTTGCCAGCAGGCTCCTGTGTGTCCCCGTGCATCCTAACCCAGGGGGATTTGGTGAGGAGTTTTATAACCATAGTTCAAAGGTGGGGCTGCTGATAAGATTAGGGTGTGTGCAGGGCCTGCACTCCTTTCATCTGGTCTCAGGTGATCTTCTTGATGAGCTTCTCTGGTTCCTTTTAGTCTGGCCTCAGGTGGTCTTCTCTAGAATGAAGAATGCTGACATCTTCTATTTATTGGGGGTTTTAGTTCTATAAAGAGCTCAAAAGGGCTTCCCTGGTGGCGCAGTGGCTGAGAGTACGCCTGC